TAGTTTCTAAACTTTACTAATGCTGGTGGTTAAAAAATATTGGGAGTGCTTTATCAACTGGGGGTAAATGGTCATTATTCCATGATTTAACCCTTTCAGTCAAACTGCGCCCATAGACTTGCTTCCTTTACTACTTCAAAGATTATTTCAAATGAATATATTCACAGTTTTCTTATGCTTTAGGCATAAATTTTAGCAATATTACTATGAAATGGAACTATTATAATTATTAAACTTATATTCAATTATGGCTCATCATTATTTTTGCCATAACTTCTCAAATGAGTTTCTCATTCCTTGAGATACGGAAGAAGACAGTCTGTGCTTCCTAATGTACCTTCTGTGTGTCCATCCCAAAGTCCGTGCAAGTGTGTTCAGCATACATGTCATACTCATGGAAGGAATCCTTGTCACATAGTAGAAGGAGCCTCTCTCGAGCAGTCAATTTACCCTGTCAAATGATGAAAAATTATTATACACATTTTCATACAGTTAACAGCCTTAATCTCTAGCACAACATGACTTTATCCAAGAATATTTACAATTCTAAACTGTAAAAAAATGTACACAAGGAAATGACCATCAAGAAACTCTTTTGAACATTTTTAACTTTTTATTAAATGAACATTATTAACTATACTAAATTCTTGCCTTTTTATGCTGAGCATCAATTCTTTTCTGGCCTCCACCAAGAAGAGCAGTTGCTTTTTTCTTTTTGATATCTTCACGTACTTTGAGTGTGTGGGCAATTGTTGAAGCATTATAGGTATTGTGGCTAGAATGTAATGTGCAGTAAGAAGATAATACACCTTGTCGAAATAAAATTTCACGACTGAGACGTGTCATGGACAATAAAATTGACATAGTGACAGTAAGATTGCAAGTTTTTTCTGGAGAAAAAGAAAATGTTGCACACTTAGAAAAATTCCAGCCTCCACCATGCTAAATGTTTTAGTCAAATCTGCCATTTAAATAACTCCTCCATTGTTTAACTTTTTTCATCAATATTTTGTGTTGCAACCANAATGAACCATCATATTCATCATATCAAGTAATCACCAAACAATTAAATACATATGCGCCCCACGTTTTTCGTTTTAGATGTTGTAAAATATTTTAACTGAAATACAAAAGACCAAGAGAATGAAAGCAAACAGAGATCAGTAGCTGCCAAAAAATTATTTTCTACTTCCGAGTCCACATGAAAAACGTGGTCTTTAAAATTTTTTTTTATACATTTTATTCTATATTCAGGGAAGGATCATCTCCAAACCTGGTACACATATGTAAAATAAAAAATGATGACTATTTTGTTAATGTGAAATTTAAAAAAATGAAAGAAAACGTGAAATTCATAGAAAACTGTCAAAAATGGGGTACTTTAGAAAATTTAATGCATCATACAATTTAAGTGCCACAACATTGCCTGACATATCATTTGATTGGTAAAGACAATATTTAGCGATTGTCAAGCCACTTTTTCAATTTTTTTCTTGGTTCTCTTGTTATGATGATTTTTCTGAAAAATTATGAATTTTCAAAATTTTCCCCCCAATCCCCTCTATTTTGGAATATATAATCCAAACTAAAACAAAATAAAAAAATGGCTCGACAATTGCTAGATCTTTTTATTATAAATCAAACGTTATATCTCTCATTGCTGTAGCTTCAAAACTCTAGGAGATAGGTTTGCCCCCGACTGGTGGCGCGCTATGTAAAGGTATAGCTTGGATACCAAAGGTGAGTGTTTTTTCACTCTGAAGTGACTCAGCAATGCAGAGAACAACTGCATGCCACCTTCCAGCATGACAGCTTGTGGCTGACTGAGGTGCAAGGCCACAGACTGCACATTTATAAACCCTGGACACAATTATTATTCTAGGGTTTTGTTAAGGGGCTCCACCACCCCCCACATTTAAGGATCTGTTGTGAACGCACAAGTCAACATACAGAGATGGTTTTTGTACCGATGCATAGGTCAGATTGTCTGCTTTAAGATGAGACTAGAAAGCAGAAAAGTCAAAATTTTTGCTTTTGACCAATATGCTCCCCTTAACCCTTTCACGGGTAAGTTAACATATATGATCACTTAATATCGCGTCACAAAAAGCCTCACCATGGCTTCCTGTTTGTTTTTGAGGCATCCTTTTAATGCCTCAGTCAATCATTAATTATCTGACCATCATTCTATCTATAGCATCACCAGCTGCAAAGTCCACAAATTGAAATATGAGCATTTAAATGTGTCTGTGGTGAACAGGCGACCTCGCCATGCCACCTCAACTCACTCTGTTGGAACAACAAAAATTCATTAATTTTTGTTCATTCAATAAAATTAAATTTCAATTAAAAATTCAATTAAATTAACAAAACATTTAATTCATAATTAAATGCTTTTACATCAATGAAAGTTAGAGGTGGTAAATTTCAAGTTGAAATTTGATCATAATTAGTACATGAAAACAATATCAACAATTTGGCATATAGATAAGCAGTAATCAAACAAAGGTTATTTGCTCAAGAGCAAATTTCTCCAATGCTGATCAACACAAATAAGGCCAAATAGAGATAAAGGATCCAGAAACACATAAAACCATGAGTAAGCTTCAAATTGCTGTGTCAAGTAAAATATTAATAGATTTAAAAATTCAGAACAATATTCAAAGAAGACATTCATGAGACAAAGAGTACATCTTATTAATGAGCTTTCATTTTTAGTATGTGTCCTTGTCTTTGAGATTTGCTTTATGCTACATAGATAGTAAAAATGTTGAACTTTACACCATTTTAAGTTTTACAAGATTTTAATTAGTTTAGCTGCTACATTGCTACAAAATGTTGTAGGACTGTCCCTTATTACCCCACCTGTCCCTTTTTACCCTGTTTGACGGTAGCTCTTTATACAGTGGGGGGAAATAAATATTCGTACACTTGAAAAATCGTATTTTAATGTATGTAAGTACACAAACTTAACAGGAAAAGTGATTTAATCGTAATGAGTGGAAAGCTTTTTATAAGAACTCCCATAGTCCCATTCTTAGAATATCAGCCTGTGCGCACACAACTGACGTCCGACTGAAGTCGGAATCAGAAATTCAGATTCAGAAGGCGAGCACCAAACCGTTCTTCTTGTCAACTGCCGAGAGCCCCGAATAGAATCACCTCGAGACTCGAGTCGACTCAGTCCTCGACAGTCGAATTGCTTCCCACAATTTAAAAGGATCCAATCAGTGAAAGCCGAAAATCGTATAATAAATATCGTAAAAATTGAGAGATTCATTAAAAAACACAGAATTCATTTAGTAATCCCTTCATTGTGTGAGATTATTTAACAATTGTAACAACTGGATAAAGGGACAAATGACCGACTGAATCAGTACCTAAATGTTTGTTCAGACTTCAGTCCGCAAGAACTGAAATTGGAGCTGCGCAATCAAGGCCACAACGGATGACACAGTTGATCCCTTCAAACAAACTTAGCTAGCTTTAGACCCGAGTTAAGCTGCAGCAAATGTGAAGAATTAAACCTGCACCAGTAAGTTGAGACTCATGCCCTGCAAACTACTACTATTTAGACTAGGACTTCAAGTAGCCAATTTACGTAGCTTTTTGACCAAGGTAAAAATATGCAATGATATTTAAATGAAAGAAATATTGACATTTACAATTTATTCAACATTCACGAATACACATTGAAAACCAATTCATTTGGTAAATAAGCGTCCGCGTGATAAATAAATTCTTTTAAACAGAATTCTACGCGGCGCAAAACCTGTACAATGTAACGTAAAAAAAAACTTTAGGTAGCAGTTGTGGAGCTTTAATCGAAAAATAGCAAATTAGAGCACCAAGCTGTAAAAACTATGTCAACACAAAAATCACAAAATTACTTAAAACTATAACAATATACGAATTAAAACATACATTAAATCTTAGCTTAGATAAGACATTAGGCTGTAATTCACAAAAACGAATGGCGCGTTACCGCATTTCAATTATTACAAGTTATGGGAAAAATCTTGGAAGATATACTCTTCCCTAGTTAGCAATGAAACAGAAGCATGCAATGAAAAGTAAAATAAATTTGAAAGATCAAGCTTTTACATGAAGAAAATTGCACTTTAAATACCTTCCTCAAATACTCACAAACTCAAACACTTTCCTACCAGGAATTCACAAAAAAAGTTCCTTTTTTTCAATCTACCAAAGATGATCTCTCTTCCATCCTCTTTAATCTTTAATAATTTTGACGTACGGTATTACTGCATACCACTTATATATGGACGGTGTTCATTTATTAAATACCAAATTTCAAAGCTGGCACATCAAACAATTAACCAATTCCAAAGAGCAAGAACAGGCAAACAAAATTGTTGAATAGTTACGCGACAAAAGCTGATGATTAACAGTAAAAAGTTAAAGTGCAATGTCGGTAACTAATGTTTTCAGATTTATACAACCTCCTTATTCGAAATTAAAGATTGGCGATGGGAGATATTATTACCAAGGCTTTTTCTAGGCGCATAAGTAATATTAATATAATTCTAGAAAGTCAAGGGAGAATCGAGAAGCAATGAAGAAATTCAAATGTTATCGCAATTCTAGCAGTATAAAATTACGAACAAAATCGAGCTAAGAGATTCACAATAAGAAGAGTAAAATAGAATTCAAGATGCAAGCAGAACAATGCTATTTGCCTTCAAAGTTTACCTCAATTAATATCCTCTTGGAACGACTCGACAGAATTCAAGTAATCACTGTAAGGAACTTGAACATAATACTAACGACACAGAGAGGTCAATTCTATAATTTTATACGGAATTATATGATACCACGAACTAACTGCTCAAGTTCAACGAGGTAACTGAAACTGCACTGAATTAAAAAAAAAACATTGCAAACGACGTAGCGTTGATAATTCAAGAGAAAAAAATTTGATTTAGCTTTAGCTTCATGAACTATACAATTTATGAAGGCATTGAAAAATTGTATCACCTAATAATGAAAGTAGATCAGTGAAGATCGAATGCTTAAAAAAATTTGTCGTAAAAGTTTAGAGCGTCATTAAAGGTAAAAAGGGGAATATAATTGTTAGGCAAGAAAATCCAGTTAAAACCCACAAGTTTCAACATTCGCCGGATAAAATAATGGTGGAAATTCAAAACCGGAAATCGTTTCTTTTTTGAAGAAATGAGAATATATAAAGTCCAATACAAGTCGGACACCGGGCCCTAACTACGAAGCCGTGCAGAAATAGCTACAAGTAGCCTCTTAATATAACGGATTACTGAAATTTTTACATTCCTTCTATCATTTCATTATTGATAAGCCCATTCGGGAGTTGTGAGGCGATCAAGTATTTAGAAACGCCTTCTCTTCCTTTCTGGAATTCCTGGATCGCGGGTGTCTGCTGGCCAACGTCCACCACGCGGTCGGTCATAAGCGTCCCAGTCGAGATCTGACATCTTGCCGTGGCGAGCCTGCCATGAAGATGTACATGTAAGACAAAAATAAACTAAACCAAGCATTTTAGGCATAATGGCCATACTTCTTCAAAATCATAAGAGATCCGCCTTAACCAAATCCGATTTCATACTACGATACCGTATGTGAAGATAAACTTCCAGCTAATGAAGTAAGTCAGCAGAATGATTTGAGGTCACAATTAAAAATCAAGCATGATCCGAGGTCCGTTGGCTTATCGAATACCGTAGTGAGTGTCAGGTTCAGTACAATACCTATTCACCGAGATATCAAATTCATATGAACGGATTTCGAAATATTTTGAATATCATTAGAGCGATCAGAAACTTACGACGCCATCAACAGCAGCAGCGTCCCCGTATTTCTTGAGCCAATCCCTGTATTGGTACCACCAATCCTCCCATTTGAGGTAGTCCTCCAGGGTAATGTGGCGGTCACCGAAATATCCCGACTGCTTGTAGTATCTGCGGTTGTGAGTGTGATATAAAAGTAATAATAAATCACACATCCAAAAACGAAATCCTACATGTCAGGCAATCCTAATCGGATATTGTACATGACAAAGTTTAATACATGAATAGGTTAGCATAATCAAAGCGTTCACATTAGTATATTCTATTTTACAGAGCAACATTGCGATTATCTAATAAATTCTGGTGTTACCGATAGCGGACGCCGACGTCTTCCCAGTTAGGAGGAAGATCACGAGGCAAGTCTCTGTGAGGGTCCCAGGAGCGGATGTCGCCATAGCGCCGTTGATATTCCGCGTACTCGGTTTGGTGCTCGGCCAGCCAACGCTCGTGTCCGGGGTGCAGGGGAGAAGGCGACCTGGTCAAGTTAGATATTGTGATCCGATCATTATTCGTCATTGTAATGTAACATAAAATGACATCACCCTGTTATAATGTAATATATGAGGACATTACCCTGTTGTAATGTAATATATAATGACATTGCCCTGTTGTAATGTAATATATAAGGACATTACCCTGTTGTAATGTAATATATGACTTTACCCTGTTGTAATGTAATATATAATGAAATTACCCTGTTGTAATGTAATATAAAATGACCTCATTACCCTGTTGTGAGTAATTATAGTTTCGGTACAGGTGGATAATTCTATCCCCATGAATGTTATGGGCGATGATTGTTTGAGAATAATTTATTATTCAACCAAGCTAATTTTGAGGTAAAATCAATCACAAATTTAGCATACTATCCCTCTCAGATACAGAGCTTTCTCCCTTATGGGTATATAAATCAAGAAAAATCAAAACAATTGCATAAAACTGTTGAAAAACCAGACTCAAAACTGAGAGGAGCAGTGAAAATAACAAATAATGCCTGATCAAAGTGAATGATTCGAATAACAAAATGGAGAACAATCTATACCTGCTGCCAAGCCCGGCTTCAAGATAGACTTTCTTGTCCTGCCCGCCTTCCCGTACAATTTTCATCCTGACGCCATCATACTCCTGTCGTTGCGAGCTCAACTGCGCCAGTTTACCGAAACGCTCCGACAGCGTCATCTTCCTGGGAAGTTCTTCTTCTTCAGACGACGACGAGGAATCGCTGTCATCGACAGGAGAAGCTGGTTGATTAGGACCACTGTTACCTGAAGTAGAGAAATCAGCCATGTGAGGACCTCCTTTTTTCGGGTTAGGCAAGTGGTGGTGGTGGTGATGATGATGGGGTAGAGGCCCGGCGGCTACTCCAGAGGAGCTGGGGGCTATGTTGGTCGGAGACGATATGAGAGACGAACCAGCGGCAGTGCCGCCGTTACTATTGCGCGCAGCGACCTCACCAGCTTCTGGCGCACCGTAGTAGGCCGTGGGCACCACTGCTCCTTCCATACCAGGTTCTGGTTGTGGGTAACTTGGCTTCTTGCGAGAATCGCCCTCATCAGTCTTTATTCTCATTTTAGCTTTGCCGCGATGACTGCTTTTCGAATGTCCTGGAACAGAGGCAAGTATTTTGGTTTTTGTGGTAACAACATTACTGACTGTTTTTGTGACGACCTTTTTGGTAGTTTCCTGCAAAGCACTTGCTTTTTTCACTCCCTCGGACACGTTCGCAGGTAACGCTCTTCCTTTCTTGACGGGCTCTCCTACAGGAGGCCTGATCCTTGGAGGACTCGCAGAACTGGAGTACGAGCCGGAGTGGGATCGCTTTCTCTTGCCTTGTGAAGGGCGTCTTGAACGACTCCTGCTGGAGGAGGAACTGGAGAACGAGGAGCTGCCGGTGCTGGAGTACGATGAGCGGGAGTAGTACGATCGTGATCGTGAATAAGACGTGCTAGAGCTGCTCGAGGAACCGGACGAGTAGCTGCCGGAGTAAGAGCGATGCCGGCGGTGCCTGCGATGAGGGGACTTCTTACGGCCACGTGGAGATCTGCAAGTACGCATCAATAGACTATAGGAAATGTATTTAGCTCAATATTCAAAGAAAATTTTAATTTCTTGCGATTGAAATTCTCTTATCTAAAAAAAAAATTACATCGTAAAGGCCTAGAAATCACTTTTAATGAATAATAAAAATCACATATGCCTCAAACATTTATAGAAACTCAGTTATCCTCATTCTAACGCAAACTGAGTGAATCGTTATAAAAAGTGATCGGAATTAGACATTTCACATCAAATCTTTGCAACTACTTAGAAGTAAACTTAAGCTGCCACTGTTATCTATAAAATATACCTTAAAAACTGTAAAATGTATCGACAAGCTATCCTATAATAATACAAAATTATATGAACTCTTTCGTATGATTTTTTTCGTGCAGATAAAAACACGAGCGCGGGCACCTTGTTGCTCTGCGGGGACTGGGTACAGCCTCCCCAGGCCGGCGAGGGTCCCTCGGGGGTCTGGGGGCGGTCCGTGGGTCACGGGGACGGTCGGGGGACTGGCGGGGGTCGTGGGGTTTGGCGCGAGGGTCGCGAGGTCTGTAATCAATCAAAAACGCTATACAATATTTTTTCGGTACATGTAAGTTTTCACGAAAAAAATCTCATCCGCCGAATTGTGATGACATTAGTAAATTGTTGTAATTACAGAGTTGTCTTCGAGGAAACCTGCATCCAAGAATTTCTTCTGCACAAATATGCTATACATTCGTATATACAAAAATATGCGTTAAATCTCGAGCTGGTAGGCCAATCGTTAGTGCCAACACAATATGCAATATCTCGCAGTAAAGCAATTGAGGTAACGTTACTTCGGACTTGTCGTTACCTGGGACTGGCCCGACGGGGATCACGAGGCTGAGGCCGAGGGTCCCGAGGGACGGGTCTGTCCCTCTGTCTGCTGTCCCCTCTCTTCTGTCCCTCGGCAGGGGGTGAGGGCCGGGCAGGAGGCTCAGGTTCGTAGCCAAGCTCGTCGCGGTAAAGCTCCTTGAAGCCTGAGTGTGCCCAGCGGTCTCCTCTGTGGTTACGGGCATAGCAATTACAAAAAATATAGCTCAGTACTCACTGCAGTGAGTGACAGAGAGCGCATTTTCTCGTCGACGAAAACTTGATTTTTTTTGGTACGTGTAAGTTTCCACATAAAAATCTCATCCGCCGAATTGTGAGAACATTAGTAAAATTGTTTTTAATAATTACAGAGTTAGTTGTCTTCAAGGAAACCTGCACCAAAAAATTTCTTCTGCCCAAATATGCTATACATTCGTATATCTATACAAAAATATGCGTTAAATCTTGAGCTGGTAGGCTAATGGTTCGTGCCAACACAATATACAATATCTCGCATTAAAGCGACTGATGTAACCTCACTTCGGACTTGGCGTTACCTGGGACTGGCCCGACGGGGATCACGAGGCTGAGCCCGAGGGTCCCGAGGGACGGGTCTGTCCCTCTGTCTGCTGTCCCCTCTCTTCTGCCCCTCGGCAGGAGGCGAGGGCCGGGCAGGAGGCTCAGGTTCGTAGCCAAGCTCGTCGCGGTAAAGCTCCTTGAAGCCAGAGTGCGCCCAGCGGTCGCCTCTGTTCTTACGGGCATAGCAATTACCAAACAATACACAAACAATGAATATTAATGGACGGAATGCATTGTTATTTGCGGCGAAGTTAACATAGGGCAGGAAAACCGAACATTGCACTGCAATAACAATAACAATAATGCAGGATAAAGATCAAAATGGAATAAGTTTCCAGCTTATTTGAACATAAATATACAATAAATTTGGTGTCGCTTCGTGCATAATCACAAATTTAGGCAACTTTTAATATCCACGACAAATAATACTCACCAAACGTTGGCATACAGGATATTTGGGTTGAATCATTTCACTACCGACAACTGTCTTTCAATTTTTCATTGCTGAATCGTTTATACAATATACACATCATTCGGCCGTATATCAATACAGCCCGACGCAGAAGGTTAGCCCCACTTTGCAAGTTTGGCGCTCTCGCGGACAGGACGCAGCGTACGTAGACTTGCTGCAAAGGGTGCGTTCATAGCGTAGTAGTTGTGCACGGATCTTATGCTCACCTAGGCAAGAAATGGGCGCGGGAAAGCCTCTGAGTTTCAGAAAGGTGCCATTCAAGCCCTGATGGTTCTGCCTGAGGGCGAGCGTCCTAGCCTGAGTCAAATGGAGGCACAAGTGGGGTATAGCCGCAAAGCCATCTCCAACTATCTCTAGGACCCCTGAACTACGGAAAGCGGCACACCAAAGGCCGCCCCAAGAAGATGTTGGCCCGTGACACGCGTCGCCTCTTCCGAGTTGCGGCGCCCGGCGACTTGAGCGCGCCCAAACTAGTCCAAAAGTTGGAGCTCAATGTCTCCAAGTTGAATCATTTCACTACCGACAACTGTCTTTCAATTTTTCATTGCTGAATAGTGTATAGTTTATATTATATACCGTTCGGCCGTATATCTATATATTAGGTATTCGACCGTAGTAGAATATTCCGTAGTTTATCAAAGCAGACATGTCGCAGTCTGCAGCCTCATTAAAAATTGTTTTTTTTCTACTTCCCCCAGAATGAATTATGTAGAATTAAGAAACAACTTATTCACCTCTTGGAGTATTGGTCTTCAGCATCAAGCAACTTCTTGGTCCAGAAAGTGTCTTTGGTGCGCGTGGAGGCCTCGCGTCGCGCCTTCACCACCACTTGTTCCATCAGAGGAGGGATCGCAGCTGCTGGCACAGCAGGGTTACAAACATACATCATAAATAAATACGTCCTGAGTACTTAGATAATCAAAAGCCATTAAATGCGACCAGGGTACTTTGATAATTAAAAGCCATTAAACAAATACGTCCTGGGCACTTGGGCAATCAAAAGTCATTAAAAGCGACCAGGGTACTTAGATAATCAAAAGACATTAAACAGATACGTCCTGGGCTTTTAGATGATCAAAATACATTAAACAAATACGTCCTGGGCTTTTAGATAATCAAAAGACATTAAACAAATACGTCCTGGGCACTTGGGCAATCAAAAGTCATTAAAAGCGACCAGGGTACTTAGATAATCAAAAGCCATTAAACAAATACGTCCTGGGCATTTAGATAGTCAAAAGCCAATAAACAAATACGTCCTGGGCACTCATTTGGAGCAATGGAGAAATTAAGCAAATTTTGATTTGGTTCTGAGTATAATTGCACAAAGTTGCAGTTTAAACTTAGACGGAAGCACAAATTTTTCCTTGTTGGTACATGGTACATAACGTATAGAATTATACATAGTTGTAGGATAATTCTCATAATTTGTTAGCATTATGATAAAACATGCATTATGATAAAATGAGATCTGTCACTTATTCATGGCGCCGCTACCGTGAACTTCCGGTGCTCACGTGGATTACACGCATGACCACAACATTAATGACCGAATTGGATGATTAGGATCAGTAAAGAAAAAAATGTAAAAAATGACTTTATGACAAAAGAAGAAATAGAACCGATATTCTACGCTGAAATGTTGTGATGCGTAACAATTGTATCATTTTCATAACAAAAACTGATAGAATAGTTATGGAAGTGATCTGAATTCCGACATTTTTCATTAAACATGTTAACTACTCCTAAAAGTCACACATGAAAGTGGCCCCCTCACCCTGATCATTGCGCCGAGGTTTAGGAGGCGCGTAGTCGTCCATTGATAGAATAGTTATGGAAGTGATCTGAATTCCGGCATTTTTCTTTAAACATGTCCAACTACTCGTAAATTAAAAAAAAATGAAAGTGCCCCCTCACCCTGATCATTGCGCCGAGGTTTAGGAGGCGCGTAGTCGTCCATACGCATCCTCATGGAGGCCACGGGCATCCTGTTGGTGTCGGAGAGCCGTGGCTGCGATGGTCCGGGGCGCCGCGTCTGCGCGTTGGGCGGCGGCAGGATGGCACGTCGACCATCCTTAGCAGGAGGTGATATCCTGCGTCGTACGTCATCACCAGGCGCCTGTCACACCGCAACACGTCCGTGTTAGAGGCTTCAAGTGATGCAATAACTCCTATAATGTTTATAACTAATTCGTGCTTTCTTAGATTGAGTTAACGTGATGTTAGTGAAGGAACGGCAATGACATGACAAAATAGACTCCTGTTAGTAATGAAAAACGACGTTAGTTGAGGAGAGAAGAGTGATCGACCAACTAGGAAATATTTGCCTTAAATTACAGCCAAGTTTGATTGATAGAGATTGAGATTACTGGCTGACATTCTATATATAGGGGCGGTAGAAAAATCTAAGTGCAAATGCGCACTATTTTATATTAACAAATAAAAACTATTTGTATTAAACAGCTCGTTCTGATACTGACATCTCAGGTCATGAGAATGTCCTTAATAAGGAAACCATTGCGATACACGATTGAAAATAGCATGAAGTCATAAGTTAGGAATGGCAAGCAAAAATACTTTTGAGATTTTAAATAAACTCTTCAGTATAGAAAATAAGGCCCTACATACTTCTTCAATCACCAACACTATAAATTTCTCTCGCTTCAAAGAGCAATATAAGGTGACAATCAATATGCACTTAATGCATGTCCTCCAGATTTTATTAATGTCCTAGATCGTGTAAAAAAACTCTACAGGTGCATGCATTCCTATAAGAATATCATATGAATATCAACTTTGCAATGTTGTCCTACAAAAACGAGTTTATAATAGAGTGAATACCACCTCGAGGGGTCTGAGTTCTTGAGAACAGCACATGCAGTAGTGCACTGCAGCAGACGGCAGAGACCTGAAGCAGTCAAGGGACACAGAACGTGTCCCTTCCACGTCCCAGGACATATCCCTTCCACGTCCCAGGGCATATCCCTTTCACGTCCCAGGACGTATCCCTTTCACGTCCCAGGACGTATCCCTTTCACGTCCCAAAACGTGTCCTTTTCACGTCCAAAAACGTGTCCCTTTCACGTCCCAAAACGTGTCCCTTTCACGTCCCAGGACGTATCCCTTTCACGTCCCGAAAAGTGTCACCTTGACGTCCCAAAAAGTGTCACTTTGACGTCCCTTTGATGAAATACTCACCAGCGGACGATGACTGCTTCACACATGCTACGCCGGATCACGCGAACGACAGAAGCACGAGCGCGAACACCGAACGAACGACGCGATTTGTTAACGAAGTGACACGCCGCGGTCATTATGCACAATAATGAATTGTTGACATGAAGGTCTCTGATAATGTCACTCATTTTACACGTTCAAACTGTACAGTGATCAATGTTGCTGCTTCAACGCGAATGTGATTATCAAATCTATTTGTTTTTCAATTGATCACATTAATCACGAAATCAAGTGAGACGACACAGTGAATTGTTCTGAGAATTACAATCTTCACACAGAATCATTACTTGAAAATAAAAACGATATACCGCTTCAATAACTTCGAGCTTCGATGAATTATCTTCAAACTCATGAAATGTCCGCGGGCATTTGCACATAAGTTGGCATCTTGAAGTCGTAGGAGCGGTCTTCGGGGTAGAACAAAAAACCAGATCTTGATGAACGTGATGTTATATTTTTTCAAGACAAATTCTCTGATATAAATTATGTTCAGTAAAAAAGTCACAGAGAAACAAGCACTTCGCAATTTCTTAAATGTATTTTCCAAATAATTTGAAAAACAACATGATAATTATGACACAACTTCCTTAGGAAGTCCAGTTTCTTGCCCGTGCATGCCTAGTTTTTAGTTTTATCACAGCACTCGTGAAACATAACACAGATAGCACAATGCACTTAATAAAAGGAATGCCTAGTAAAACAGTTTTGCAAAATTTCTTAAATAAAATAATAAATTTAACTTGAAAAGCAATCTTCATCCGCAATGGTCTAATTGACACACGTTATTGCTGATCACAATTCGGAATAGCATTCATGTCATTACAGACACAATAAATAATACACGACTATTGAAATGTCAGAGTAAGTTATTGCATGCCAGGACGGCGCAATAAACTTATTTTAGGTGACACAAATGTATTCCAACGTAGAATTGTCTACACGCAGTTAATACACTCGGCTTGTACTAACAACGTACACGTATTAAACAGGTTAATCGAGAGAGCTTCTCACCCGAACCGCGGGCCTCCTTCGACTAGGAGAAACGGACAAACGGCGGTGAGGTGGTGGCGGGCGCGCGTATGGCGGTGGAGACGAGCCGCGCGGTGGCGGGTGGTGGTGGCCAGGCGGTGGCGACCGAGGATGAAGTCTGTGGTGAACAGGCGACCTCGCCATGCCACCTCAACTCACTCTGTTGTAACAACAAAAATTCATCTTTAATGTTTTTACATTAATGAAAGTTAGAGGGTGGTAAATTTCAAGTTGAAATTTACCACCCACTAGTGGTAAATTTCCTGAAAAGTAAATTTTAGTAAAGTAAATTTCCTAAACCTAAAACAAAAAAACCTTAAGCTAAAAAAATTAGATTTAGAAAATCTGAACAATATTCACAGCCATGACATTCATGAGGCAATGAGTACATCTTATTCATGAGCTTTCATCTTTTATTTTTTGTATGCATACTTATTTTTAATAATTCAAAGAATTATTAAGAAGTATCAAGTTAGTATTAAAAGAAGCATAAAGTAACAGTTGTTAAGTAGTATTAGGTACCGGTATTAAGAAAACAATCATTATAATAAAATTAAGCAGCAATAAAATTAAAATTATTTATTATTTTATGTATGTTAATGCTGGTATCCACATACAGGTCTACTCATAGCATTCAATAATAGAGGTAAAAAATCTCTTGTTTGCCACTATGATCCAATCAGTAGAATAAAGTGCAATTGGCTTGTAAATGCAGCAAATCAAATTATTTCCAAAGTTACATAAAAATATTTTCTTACATTATTTTTGCTACAAATTGAGGAGTTCAGCATTTTAGTGCATTTTTCTCAAAGAAGAATGAAAGATTAGCAATCAGGCATGGAATGAATCTACATTCTATACCTTGACTGAGAATTCTGGCAATTTTTGTATCTGCAATATTCCAGCTACCATCGATGACACACGAGTTGCTACTCAGCAACTACTGCACTTAACTTGCTGCATGTTCAGAGGTGGGCAGTAGCCCGCTACATGTAGCAGCTGCTACACTTTCAGAAGCGGTAGCAGCGCTACATTTAAGGCAATGTAGCGGTAGCGCCGCTACATTTCAAAGTAGCACTGCCCAGCTCTGTGCATGTTAATATAAACTGTAATATATTAGTAGGGTTTGAACAATATAACTAAGAAGCTGTTATGATTGCAATAGAAAATTGTGTCTTAGTTTTGTTTTGTTTACATTGTTGTTTGTGGCTTTGTTTTGTTTCTTTTGAATTTTTTTTTATATATTTTTACATATAAAAAATGTATATCTCTTTATACATACCGTCATAGGGATAATAAGGAAAAGTTTTGAGCATTTTAGTTAATAACTTTTTACCATGAAACATTTCATAAACAAGTTTGAGCTAATTTTAAAGTACTTTGCAAGGGCTATCATGCGGCATCTCTGAAAAAATGTTCAAAGGTGCCAGATGAAAATTAAAAGCATCCCAAATTACCCCTGGAAACAAGGTAATCCAGGACACTTGAAATAAAACTTAATTATAAAACATTTGAAGCATACAGAGTGTATTCATCTAGTATTACTAACAGTACTCTGAAGTCCTCCACTTCCTTTTTAGATGACATAGATGTAGGATAAATGACATTTTCTGTGATTTTTACTTGTTTTCCCATTATTGATATGATATTACTGTATCCATTACATTACCGTATTATTGATGTGATATTACTGTATCCATTACATTACCGTATTATTGATGTGATATTACTGTATCCATGGACATGCCATTGAGCATTAATAATGACCAAGCTTCATATCAGCAACCTTATAACATTTCTTCTGGATCTGCAAGCTTACAGGATGGCTTGTAAATTTGCACCATTTTAATTGGGTCAAGTAAGTTCACTATAACAAAAAAGATAGTAAAAAAAATATCTGAAACAGAAAGGAATATTTTATATTTTAGTGACTACCATCATATTTTTTAGAGAAATAAATCAAAATTTGGGTTAATTACTTTTCATTCTATGTTGCTTGGTGCACAATTCTATCTATGACATTCTAGGCCCAATTTTGTGATGAGCAATGATACATTAATTTTTTTGTTAAGTGAAATTTTTTGCTGAGAGAGGTAAATGTATTCAAAATTCTTTGTTGTTAATCAATTTTTTAATTAACTGGGGCCTTTGCTAACCAAGGTTCTATTGTAAATGTATTCTTAGAGGTGTCCCTTATTGCCCTGTCTTGCGGAAATTTCCGCCATTTTTTTGGGGGGTGAGCTATGCAAATTTCGTCAATCATGTTTTTAAGGTAACACCTGTGTGCAACTTTTATGTAAATAAAATTTTTTGATGCAGCAAATATTTTTTTTGCTACAGACCTTAGCAGAGGTATTTTCCCAAAATATCACTTTTCACACATTTTTTTTCAGGGATTTTTTAGAGGTAATAAATGTATGATGTCTTAGCTTGTTTCATGCTACACAGGTAAGAAAAATTGTTTACTTTATGCCACTGTTTTTAGTTCTGCAATATTTCAATTAGTTGACCCTAATTATAATCTGTCCCTAATTAACAGGGTCCCTAATTAAAATCCGTAGGACAGACCCTGTCCGTCCTTTATTACCCCGTTTGATGGTACCATACTCTTAAGTATGGTACTTAAATTTGGTAGCTACAAAGTAACATAGTTTAAATAAATTTGAAATTTTGAAGCCCAATAGTGCACTAAGTGCACTTTTGTTACCAATTAGATATGAGGCAATTTATCAATGGTCATTGCCATGATGGGAGCAAGAAAAGAAATTGATGGGAGCAAAAAAAAGAATCATGAAACTGCAAAAATGGCAGGAAAGTTCTTGTTGCAGCTCAGATTCAGAAGGACAATCTGAAATACATGACAGAATTTCCCTAAAGTTGTGAGGAAAGACTATACTTTAATGGTTTATTTTTAAAAATCACAGGCACAAATATGCCATTTTTATATTTTTTGATCAAAGAAATTAATCAAGAGCCATAAATACATAGCCCTTATGCAGCAGATGGCTGTTGAGTGTTGTAATTGTGGAGGCCTGACTCCAGAATGTTCTTTTTCAGATCAGTCACCCAGGGTGCAGAAAGTAGGTGAAAATCAAAAGATTATTGGCAATGCATCTGCAGCAAAATTTCCGCATTCAGAAGATCTTACCAACACATTTGGATTGATATTATTGCATTTTAGGAATTACTTTGAAATTACTGCAAATCTGGAAGACCACAAGCAAACACAGTAAGGTTTTTAGGTACATTGGATGGATCAGGATGCAGTGAAGTGAAGTTTGTCCGAAATTCAGTTGCGATGATGCAGTGCGTGGGGAGTAAGGGATATACTATCAAAGTTGTTAGCAGCATTTTCTTATTAAAAATTACCCAGTAACAGATCTTGAAAATGGCTGGCAGCTTTGGGCTAAAATCATATATTGCAACGCTGCTCGTGCCCTCTGCACCCTGGAGAGTCCCCACGCCCCAAATCTAAATCTGTATGTGAAATAAACTAGTGCCATTTTTTTGGGGGGTGAGCTATGCAAATTTCGTCAATCATGTTTTTAAGGTAACACCTGTGTGCAACTTTTATGTAAATAAAATTTTTTGATGCAGCAAATATTTTTTTTGCTACAGACCTTAGCAGAGGTATTTTCCCAAAATATCACTTTTCACACATTTTTTTTCAGGGATTTTTTAGAGGTAATAAATGTATGATGTCTTAGCTTGTTTCATGCTACACAGGTAAGAAAAATTGTTTACTTTATGCCACTGTTTTTAGTTCTGCAATATTTCAATTAGTTGACCCTAATTATAATCTGTCCCTAATTAACAGGGTCCCTAATTAAAATCCGTAGGACAGACCCTGTCCGTCCTTTATTACCCCGTTTGATGGTACCATACTCTTAAGTATGGTACTTAAATTTGGTAGCTACAAAGTAACATAGTTTAAATAAATTTGAAATTTTGAAGCCCAATAGTGCACTAAGTGCACTTTTGTTACCAATTAGATATGAGGCAATTTATCAATGGTCATTGCCATGATGGGAGCAAGAAAAGAAATTGATGGGAGCAAAAAAAAGAATCATGAAACTGCAAAAATGGCAGGAAAGTTCTTGTTGCAGCTCAGATTCAGAAGGACAATCTGAAATACATGACAGAATTTCCCTAAAGTTGTGAGGAAAGACTATACTTTAATGGTTTATTTTTAAAAATCACAGGCACAAATATGCCATTTTTATATTTTTTGATCAAAGAAATTAATCAAGAGCCATAAATACATAGCCCTTATGCAGCAGATGGCTGTTGAGTGTTGTAATTGTGGAGGCCTGACTCCAGAATGTTCTTTTTCAGATCAGTCACCCAGGGTGCAGAAAGTAGGTGAAAATCAAAAGATTATTGGCAATGCATCTGCAGCAAAATTTCCGCATTCAGAAGATCTTACCAACACATTTGGATTGAAATTATTGCATTTTAGAAATTACTATGAAATTACTGCAAATCTGGAAGACCGCAAGCAAACACAGTATATAAGGTTTTTAGGTAGGTACATTGAATGGATCACGATGCAGTGAAGTGAAGTTTGTCCGAAATTCAGTTGCGATGATGCAGTGCGTGGGGAGTAAGGGATATATTATCAAAGTTGTTAGCAGCATTTTCTTATTAAAAATTACCCAGTAACAGATCTTGAAAATGGCTGGCAATGCTTTGGGCTATTGCGACGCTGCTCGCTATCATATATTGCGACGCTGCTCGTGCCCTCTGCACCCTGGAGAGTCCCCATGCCCCAAATCTAAATCTGTATGTGAAATAAACTAGAAGTATAATCTTTTTGTCTCATTCAATGATTCATGGCCAATTTCTGCCATACCCATTTCCCACAATGGTCTTTGTCAGAAGGTAGATTTTGTCCATGCCATGCATGCTCTTTGGTAGTTTCTTCTGTAATGAATATCTCAAATATTTATTAGAGAAGAAACTACCAAAGAGCATACATGCATTCATGATATCTGAGTCTGACCCATCACCCAAGTAGGTATTATATAGTCAAATGGGGCAAGACAGGATCGCAGCCTTCATGGGGTAAGAAAGGACCAGCCCATGGCATGCATTCTAATTGCACTGAATTTAATTTGACAAAAGAATATGTTTGAGCAATCATTGCCTGTCATTTCAGTGTTTGTTTAAACCCTCTTCTGCAAATAATAAATTTCTGGCTAATTTTTAAAGAAAACCTTTGTAAAGAAGTGTCACAAAATAGTTAACCCTGTTTGGGAAATAAGCTCTGTCTAATGACAAAAAATTTTTTGGCCAGGTTTGTGAATGTAGGCAGGTAACCTCAAGTAATAAGCAACATTTGAGACATGCTAGGCATTCCTACCTGCTACCATCACTGCCTGACATGTATTTTAAAATGGGGTAAAAAATACTGGACATGGGGTAAGACGGTACCACTAAATGATCCTGTTTTACCCCACAAGTGGTCCTGTCTTACCCCACTAATGGTCCTGTCATCCCCACAAATGGTCCTCTATTACTCTACAGTTTATCAAAAATTATTTTTAAATGAATATATTATTGTGCAGTCAGTACATGGAGTATTTTGGTTAAAATTTTTATCTTTGGCTCAAACTTCATTATAACTTGTAAGCTTTTTTAATTGAAGAAATTTAGTGCACTATTTTAAATTGCATCAAAGGGATGGAGAAAATAGGGATGTCACTTCCCATTATTGACCTGCAGGACTATGTGCAAGATTGGCTGGGGGAAAAATCATTGTGTGAAACATGAAAAATAATTATGATCACAACTTTGTGAGAGGGCATGAGCTATGTTTGAAGAAGTGCACCACAAATGCAGTTAGCAAGAAAACACATAATGTCTGACACTTAAGTTATTATCCATTGGTTTTATTACCAATTTGAAAAATTTTGCAGACAATGACACTAATGGAATATACATGAAGCATTTAGCAGTGCTCTAAATGCTAGCCCAAAAGCCAACCCACTATTATTATGCTTAACAAAGTTTTTTCATGACAAAAACTCCTATGTGACTGATATTAGAGTTGACTTCCTGCAACACAAAACAGTAACAAGTATTTGTATAATCAAATAATGTGTTTCTAGATGGATAATATTAAATATCAGATTTTTACTTTTATTAAAAATCTTGTAACATAAGAATTACCAGTTGGTCCTGTTTTACCTCTAATAAAATTACATAGGCCTACATGAGTACATGATACATCTATGCAGTAAAATACATACATCTATGTAAGGCTATTAGGCTACTATAAATTCATTCATGATTTAGCCAGGTCAGTTAGGTACTATACATAGCTTAACCAGTTAGCCGAACAGGAGTAACAGCCCAGCCAATAAGTCTGGGCTAAAAATAACTTCACCTGCATAATTTACAGTTTGACTTTGATAATGAGCCACAAATCTATCCTAACTACCTACACATAATGAAATGACCATTAAAAAAGAGATTTATTTCAAATAGAGAAAGCAGGGCATCATCACCCAAGAATTTAAATTTTTGTTACCTATTAATTTATTATTCTTTGGATACGAGATGGGCCCAGCCCCGCCCAGGGCCAGTAACTGAGTAAGGAGGTAGGCTAACTGGTAACAAGTTATTTTCGTATGGTAAACATTAAAAACATACCTCAACAAACCTCAAAGGCAGACTTCTGATGCCAAAATCCGTCTTTTCACCGAAAGTACGTGCTAAATTTTTAACTATTACCTATGTCTATTTAAAAATAGCGTCACTTGAACCACAATCAATAAGTCAACAAACAACACACCCGTTCACTTCAATCTACCATTTTCTTTTTGATAGGAAAATTAACCCAGGGTCACTATTGTAACTAAGATTTGTCTATCACGGCGATATTTTTGACATTATATTCGCACCGGGTTAAATTCACGTTTTAAATATCACGTGAAATATATTTGAGAGTTACTCAGTTAGCAGATCAGTCACTCACTCTCAAAATTGTATTTATTCGTCAAATGTCAGTGTTAGAATAGAAGTGTCGGCACTGAAGAAATAGGCTCATAGCCTGTTGCCGATTCTTGAATTTTTCTTGACCTGATAGGCTGACTCACAAGGGATCCGGCCTTTGGAACCCGATCTTTCCATAACTGACGATTGATAATTTGATTGAGATAGCTGCTGGACTTACTGCCTGGTCCGTAATTTGCTAGGCATTTTAAGACTGAACATATGCGCCTGCACAGCTTCATCTAGTCTGTTCTTGAAGGCGTTCATACTCGGAGCGTCAACGATGCTAGCAGCCTCAGGGAGGCTGTTCCACATAATAATTGGGGTTTCAGCGTTTATTAGGCCGTAGGCCTGTCGCCGATTCTGAACGGCGCAGAACATTCGCAGCATTTGCGGGCTTGAACTCGCAACTCTCTGCTACAATTCTGTTGAGCTTAACCGCCCGGCCTCCTTGTCGATTCAGACCAGCCTGAAACTGGCGCACAGTGCTGGGATCGAACCCGCGCCCTCTGCTCCAATCTTGCTACTCTGACTTTAACCACTAGGCCACCCTGGGCCACATGACGGTGACTCGAAGCGAGAAGAAATGTTGTCGCATGGATCTGTTACAACGCAGTTTTTTCAGTTTATAGCCGTGGCCCTTGGTGTTGGTTCTTGTTTCAAATTCTAGTAATCCTTCTGGGACCTTGTATAAGCCATGAGTATACTCAGAGCTGGGCAGCGCTACTTTAAAATGTAGCGGCGCTGCCGCTACCGTTACATGTTCTAAATGTAGCGGGTGCTACCGCTACAATTGTCTAAATGCAGAGGTGGGCAGCAGCGCGCTACATGTAGAGGCCGCTACTAGCGGCCGCTACATTTTCAGTAGCGGTAGCGGTAGCGGCTCTACATTTGAGGCAATGAAGCGGTAGCGGTAGCGCCCGCTACATATTTAAGTAGCGATACGAGGTTTTGCCGCTACAGCGCTACCGCTACATTTATAGACAAAGCCTTTAGATTCTTTCCCATTGCCAATTATTTGCATTCAGGGTACCAGCACGCGTCTTTAGACCTATTTATGTTCAATTTAACGTGAATAATAGGCTATAAATGAGACTTTTTATATATAAATACATATATATAAAATATTCATTTTACATAACTTTACAACTGCATTACGCAAAAACTATTGCATGTACATCCATGGTAGTAGCTTTGTTAAACGCGTCTTGTTTGTAGCTTTCCAACGAGTGCAAACACTTTGCAATTAACTTAAATAATGACATATAAATACCATTTATTTGTAAATAACGATATAAAATGATCATTTTATAATAGTTCAAGACTGCATTACACAAAATGGGATTGCATTTACATCTATCATCTATGGTATAGTAGCTTTGTTGAACGCGTCTCGTTTGTAGCTTTCAAACTAGTGCAAACAATTTGTAATTAACGAGAGTAATGATCTATATATACAGATTTAATCCAAATAAATCTTTGTACATATTGTTAAAAAATGTTCATATATATATTTTTAAAATTGTCTTTCAGCAGCTACAAAATAGGTCAAGAAAACGGTAAAGCCAAAGTTTCCGATTTTTAGGGTAGCCGGTCCCCTTAATAGTATTAAATATTATTTAAAAACCAGCATGATACATACATAATATAAATTACAGAATAAAACTGTACGAAAGATTTCGGGGTAATGTTGTCAACCTCAGCCTGTTACTAGTGTCAACATTTTAGTTGTTACCTGTTAAGTTGTTACCAGTTACCACTTACAGGATTTTTTCATGTTTCAGTTTGCTTACAGTTATTTTTACACAGTTATTTTTATGTTTCACCTTCCCTACAGGGATGTCTACTTTAATCTACCAATCTCAGAAATAATCCAAGTATATATACAAAAAAGACTGATTTTTATATGTATATGTGGATAATTTTTTAGATTGGTAGATTAAAGTTCACATCCATGTAGGAATGGTAAAACATAAAAATAACTGTAACTTTTATTTACTATATCTAACCTATACTAGTTCGGTTAGGTTAACTGCAACAAAGTTGCATTGATATGTTTTAAAAATGTTTTATTATCATTAAACGTTAATGAGTAAATCCCAATAGCGGAACAATAAATATTAAGAGATTTCTAATAATTTGGCCATTGTAGCGGCTAATGTAGCGCGCTACATTTTACTGTAGCGGTAGCGCCCGTTACAATCTAGTGGGTGTAGCGGTAGCGGTAGCGCCCGCTACATTTAGAGCATGTAGCGGTAGCGGTAGCGGCGCTACATTTCAAAGTAGCGCTGCCCATTAGCGGGCGCTACCGCTAAAATTGCTTAAATGTAGCGTCGTTACCGCTACTGAAAATGTAGCGGCCGCTACATGTAGCACGCTACTGTCCACCTCTGACTGAATACTTGTATGCTTCAATGAGTTCTCCACGCAGACGTCGATAATTGAGGCTTGGAAGCTTCATAATATTTCCTCATAGGACTTGCCTTTCAACCCCGGGATTATCTTTGTTGCACGTCTTTGAACACTCTATTAAATTTTTGTCCTTTTCAAGTTTCGGTGACCACACGACGTTTCCAAACTTTAGGTTCGGGCGCACGACGGCAACAAACAACTGCTTCATCGCTTCTGCATCTAGGAACTCGTATGAGCGTCTGATCAGTCCAAGTCGTTTATTGGCTTTACTAACTTGACCTTCAATATGCTTAGATAATTGAATGTTTGAATCTGCTGAATCTGAAGAGATGTTTGAATCCGCTCAATCCATTCGAATTATCAGTTATAAATCAGATACCACTCTGATGAAATTATTATCACGATTCAGCTTAATTAACCTAACCATGAACATTGATCATGTCCGTCCTTTACCTTTAACCTCACGCCAAATACGATGCAGAGCGAGCGCAACACCATGCATTTTGTAGGCAGTCAGTCATCCACTTCTTTCAGACTTTCGATTTCTCCTTCAATGGCCAGCTCGACACTTTCAATTTTGATGTCATATACCTAAATCATTGACAACAGGTAACGGAACACATCACCATCAGATTGGAATCTCAGCAATTAAATTAGTTTTCTATAACTGTAGACGGTGTGTGGTGCAGGTAAGCAAAGTTGGAGTAGCATTTCGGAAGGGCGAGTTTTAGAATCTCGCAACTAGCTTGTTAAACTCTACTCGGCAAATTGACATGGTGGATGGGTGATTGGGAATCGGTGACAAGCCGACGTGGCCTAATCAAAGCCGACACAGTGTATTACTTTGTTTAGAAACTTGCCTAGGCTCTACTACTGACAAAAGGTGCACTATCTTGTTAAAGCGCCACCCATGTAGAACAAAAAATGTAGTTTTACAATATAAAGGCTAAACCAGAAACAAAGTCTCTAAAGGGTTCAGTAATTTTATTAATTAAGAATAACCCTAGATAAAATAAGTAGACCATTTTGTATTTCCTTAAAAATAACAGGGGGGGTAAGAAACAATATTACGGCTTTTGAAATAAGATCTGCAATTGGTAATTGAAAAATCGATGAAAAATACATAGCAAAACACTTGAAGACACTCAATACTATTAATGTATTCACCTACAATGACATATAAGTTGCCATTGTAATCCCGCAGCACTGAACACGTCGACCGGTATTTAAAAAGATAAAAAATTGTCATAATAAGATTTTACTGTGTTCAACGGGTTCGGAATAATGTCACAGGTTACAACGTGGCGACTCACCCGTTGCGGACGGCAGTTAGAAAACATTCACTACCAGAATGAGAATATTCATAAGATTACATGAAATTGTGAAGTTGTATATAATCCGACAACAATTTGACAGCATGACGATTTAAAAGAAATGATGCATTCTATGAAAAATATTTCAAAAAGATGTTTGAATCTGCTCAATCCATTTGAATTATCATTACTTGCATGATAAATATGACCACTTAAATTAAAATAGCACAAGGGCAGGGTGGCCCAGTGGTTAAGGGCAGGGTGGCCCAGTGGTTAAAGTTCAGAGTACCAAAATTGGAGCAGAGAGTCGCGGGTTCGATCCCAGCTTTGTGCGACAGTTTCTGGTCAGAATCGGCAAGGAGGCCGGGCGGTTAAGCAAAGCAGAATTGTAGCAGTGAGTTGCGAGTTCGAGACTCGCACCAAGCTGTGGATGTTCTGCAATGTTAAGAATCGGCGACAGGCCTACGGCCTAATAAACGCTGAAACCGCTATTATATTATATAATATATTTAGTTTACGCTATGACACTAACTAAAGCAAAGAATTACGAGATAACTTGGAATTCAGGTAGGCTTTTCAACAGCCATAAACTGGAGAAAGCAACTAAATCAAAACAAAAAAACTACAACAACAACGTTGGAATAATGAATCTATCCAGTCATTTTCTTATGGAATGTCGTGCGATCATAATTGAAAACGAACATACAAGTAACACTACGAGATCACAGTAATTTATTACCATTGTAAAAACGACCGATAGCTATTGATAGCTGTTACAACTTTTTCTTGATTATGAGCAAGTTCAGTGAAGAGGGAAAAACAAAGGCGACTTATGCTCCATTGACAGTAGTTAAGATTTAAATCAGTATTTCTGCACGACTTCTTAGTTCAGGTAGTTATGATTTGCAATTGTATATATGCTAAAATATTTAAGAAATATTAGGACCACTTTTTCCATTTTAATTGTAGAAAAACAAACAGCCAAATGTTCCTCAGTACATATGTATAAAGTTCTACATTATTAAGGCAGAATTTGAAGGCAAAGGCGTCTTACTCTATCTTAATAATACTTAATAATAAATAGCTCAAAATGTTTCTGGACGGATGCAAGATCACAGAATTTTATTAATAAAATACTGTAATATATTACATTTAAAGATGAGTTGATTGAGGCTTCTTGTGAGGTTTGAACCACCGAGACGCGAGTGAGCATGGTAGATTCTCATGAAAAAACTCATCAATAAGCTAACAAAACTCAACTGCCATAGAACTAAGTCAGTTGGCGGTAGATAACGGACATGGTATGAAGTAAAATCAAAACTACTTTTGAAGATAATTAGAAATAACTCTACTACTTAACGATTATGATACACAATTGAAAAATTTTGTTTACATACTTGTATAAAAAAATCCTTTCTTCAATTACCTTTTCAGTTTAATTTACAAAAACACCAATGACTACACCAAATTTTGCATTAAAAAGGGACTATATATGATTAAAACAGGACAACTGTTTTCAGGAATATAAACATAACTTAGCTAGTAGACAGTGCAGTTTAAATTATTTTCTAAACATTCAACTTGCAATGCATCGCAACTAAGAAGTAAAGGTCCATTACCAATTGCACTTAAATATCATCTTTGCAAGCAAACTCTAATTATAATAGCTTAGTGGAATTTTTTTTATTCCAAATTTGTGATTTTTACTCGGCATTACTTTTTTAAGCCATGACAATTTAACTGATGATGTTCTAACATGTGAATGGAAACTTAAAAGAGATCACTGAAACCTATAACGGGACAAGAAGCAGGAATGCCAAATGTGAGACAAGGATTTACCACTAGCCCCTTTTGAGAACGTTGTAACTTTTGAGGTAGATGCATCGGATAGTTGACAGTCAATTAGCGATGAGCATACCACAACAGCACTACAAGTACTGCTATCGTGCACCCAAAACTGGTCGTCTGCAAACTTGATGCACCCAACTGCAAAGAGGTAATCATTTTTGGACACAGCACAAAATTTAGAACTTTACATGACAACTTATCAATCCAATATTTAAATTAATGAATTTCATGACTTACATTCATCTAATTTTACATAAGAAAAAGTAACTATAAAGGATTGATGTTAGTAAACAAGTTGATTTTTACCATGCAGGTTGTTAAGAGAATGATTCCAACACCATACATGGAAAGAAATGTGACCTCCACAATAAAATTTCATGCAAATGAATAGTTTCTATGTATATAGGTATAGAGAAAAGAATATAATAATGCCATTACTCACAGTCACAAAGAAGTTGCAACGATCTCCTTTGCAGCACTCTGCACATTTCCAGTCCTTCCAATTTATGTAATCACAGTAAGGCAAATAGCCTGATATTGTGTCAGTACAATCTTGTCTTGTGGCACACTTCTTGCTGATGTAGTATTGCATGGGAGCACCCACTTCCCAGAATGGTGTGCCTGAAAAATGTGATTGAGTTGAAGTAATGCTACAATGAGCAGAAAGATTTTGAAAAAATAATGAAAAATAATATACATATATACCCGTGAGGGAGCATAAACAATCCGTCCAGAGACAGAATTTATAAATTTCCATCCAAATTAGAAAAATCTTCTAAGAATATAAACTGATGCTCACTTAGAATAAATACCTATATATATATAGGTATATATTGCATACCGGTACCTAAATATAAATATTTCAACTTTGACAAAACAACATTGCAGTTTAAATTTTGCAGCATAATGTTTCAAATACTGACATTTCAGTGTATATTTCTAAAAATTTTGCAATTTAACAAGTCCACAATAGATTTAACAGAAAGAATCAAAAGATTCCTGTAACTGCATCACGAGGAATTTCACATAAACAAAATATTATGATAAGTAGATCACAGAGTACAACAGTGAAAAAAGAGCTAATTAAAGCATTACTTACTGCCCCATTTTATTTCTGACAGACAATGATCTTGTTCAAAGTCGCATGGCTCCACAGTCTCAGTGCACTTGCCTCTGTTGCTGTCCTGCTCATGGCAGACGTAGCACTCATGAGCACCACACTCTGCAAATTTGGTATAGATTTTAATCATCATATAAACAATACCTAAATGATAGATCAATGATAGCAGTAATCCAAATTGTTGAATGAGTTGAGTTTCATGCAATGTGGCAAGCCATATCAGACCAGTGTTGAATAATTTTGTAAAAAATGTCAAGTTATGCTTATCACAGATTAAATATAGAAACCTCCAATCCCACACGGCTTATACTACCTAATATAAGAAAAATTATCAAGCAATAATACTTTCTTTCAAAGAATATTTCAGAGCCAAACAAAATTACATCTTATAATGAATAATGTTGCCAATACCAAATCAGTCAAGTCTTCAATACTATGCTAGTCTTTATTAAACTCAATTTTATCACTGACACAACAAGTTTATCACTGACACACAACAAGTTTATCACTGACACACAACAAGTTTATCACTGACACACAACAAGTTTATCACTGACACACAACAAGTTCATCACTGACACATGACAAGTGTATCACTGACACACAACAAGTTTATCACTGATACACAACAAGTTTATCACTGACACAACAAATTTATAACTGACACATCAAGTTTATCAGTGACACTCAGACTAATTTTTGAAAAATTGAAGATACAAATGATGCTGTTACATTTACAAACTTGCTAGTTTAATCAATTGAAATGCTAACTATAATAAACTTGCATTTTGTTCATGGCACCAATTCTGAGATATTTCTCTCAATCAGGGTACGGTATTTCTTTTTTATTGAAAACAAATTTTTTTACATCTCATTTGATGATCTCACTTTTATAACTAGACATTTTAAATTTAACTATTATGTCATTTTGAATACTCCATTGACTACAGAAATTTAGTTTCACAAAGGGTATTAATGAAACCATTCTGAAATAACAGGGAAATCTCTATTCCCACTAATAAATGGGATTCATTAATTACATAGCACAAAATCAATTTTCCCCCAATTTGTCTTTTCAAAGATTCAATTAACTACAGAAGTTTAGTTTTCACAAATGCATTCATGAAATGTTCCCAAAATAATTAGGAAATTTTCATCCCTATAAATAATCAGGATTCATAAAATACCTACCAAATATATTTATTGTCATATAATTTGGAATCAATGTATGGCATTGCTACCTTCATTACCATACTAATTGCAGACTGCAGATGTGGAAACATGAGCCAAAGAGTTTGAATCAAGTGTTGTGTAGCCAAAAAATACTATTGCCAAATTGTTCTACAAATTATTGTATGATGTAACTGCAACAAACATACCTAAACCTTTAAATAATACATATCTAATATCGTGTTAACTCCTCTAGATGCTGTTCCTATAAATTGTGGAACCTTTTTAAATAATGTTTTTAATATTTATAACTGATCATTGATTTTATGAAAATTCTCAATATTATTTATTTATGAAATTATGAATCTAAATACCTACTTTACAAGTTTTGGACTAAAATTCTGGAAGAGTCACAACTAGCAAATATTAATAACATATAGTTTCTAATAACATTTAATTTTTACTAATGATATACATGCCCAAGTTCTCAAAATCCTGCCTCTCCGATTTATCAAAGTTAAGTAATTTCTGCTTCTAAATATCTAGCATTTTCTATGAGATGCGAGATGCTAAAAAACTAACAATTTACAACCAACAACCAACAAAATCATTCAGGAGTCCAGTTTTGTTTTCAGTGTTACAGTATCTAAAGTGAAGTCGGTAAGACAATATTGACAAAAACCTGCAAAAATTTGTATAAGCATGGATAAAAAGAGGTGGTTAAAATTTAAACTTTTCATCATTTAATTAAATTAAATCTCATTGTAGATGAAATCTATTTATTGTGAAATGGAATTTGCCCAAACAGGCAGTATGACATCTCCAGTTGTTCACAGTGCTCAAAATTTGCAAAATCTCATTGTGTTGTTGTGTCCGTTCTGGTTACTGAAATTTTTTTGGTATTATTAAAATAGTGAGGCTTTTCTGCAATAGCAGAAATACTTTTCTTTATTTTAGAAGATATTCATTGTAAAAATTGCTCAGTTAAAGATAAGCAATCAGTGAGTAGCATTGAGAATGGTGTCATGGAGATTGATATGCAGTTGGTAAAGCGCACAATGTCAGAGGAGCAGCAGTTTCTCATGAGCTCTGTGTAATATTTGGCATAGCAGTGGCAGCTGTAATGTGGTAGGCCTTCCAATAAATTTTTTATACAACCATGACTAATGAAAGTATAATTCCAGAATTCCATATTGATGGCAAACAGACCTTGCGATTATTAGGGCTGATGCGCAATGAGTGGTAAGGACAAATGCACATTACAATCCTAGTGTTGACAACATCTTGCTTTTAAACCACAACTTGAGCTTTCACACCATTTTCAGAACTGCAAGATTCACGCTAGATGAATTACCTCCTATTTAATTGAAAAACAAGCACACTTGGACCATGAGGCATCAGATACCAAATGTATTGAAAATTTGTCACTATGAAGCCACACAGATTTCAACCATTCTGTTGAGTGTCAGTTACTAATAAATTTGTAATACAGCAATCCCTTGATTAACGCGGTTAATAAATCCCCGAGTTTTACCGTGTTAAGCAAAACCACGCTAATCAAACTCAACAATATATGGGAATGATTATAATGAATCCTCAAAAATAGCAAAGTTACATAATAATTTTTTTTCCACTAAAATTCATCATATTTTTATTCTAAATGATAGGGGATATAAATAAAAGAAATGCGAATGAATTAACATTTATTTTTTACTGAAAAACGAATCCAATTTCAATTGCACAGTAGTACGTATTAGTTTTCTTTCTCTCCTGCATAATTGTGCGATAGCAATTCACTTGCCTATCCAGGCCACGGCAAACATTCATGCTTTTTTCTTCATTTGGGTCTACTTCTCTTATGATTTCTTTAGTTTTTTCAATTGCAGTGAGTAAATTGAGTTGAAGGCTAACGAGTGACTAGAGCACCGGCATGGCGCACTTACCGGCATACGTTGCCGAACTTGACCATTCGAGTTATGAATGAGACAAGGCGTGGTTAAACCGACTCTGTAGTCAGCACGGTGCCTACGGAATGGGACCTTATTTAAAGAATTATTGGCTGAAATTCATAAAGTAACAACATTTGGCAAATTTTTCCAAAAGTCGTAACAAAAGTAACAACATAAGATCTAATACAGCAAAAAGTAACACTTTTGTTACGAACGTAACACCTCTGGCTATAGGCGGGAAAATGATGCGTTGTGAAAAAAAGTCGCGCTAACATGGTGGCATTCCATAGTATAAATAAAAGAACATGAGCTTTTGGGAAATTGGAGCGCTCTGTCATAATTGGAGCGTCAAGGTTTTTTTGGTTTCTAATTCCTATGCTACCTTGCATACCTAACTGAATAATGGAATCCTTAATTCTCGAAATTAATTTAAATTTTTACCTGCGATGAGAAGGATCAGAAGAACACAGCCCAGAAAATGCAACTGCATTTTTCATAAACTTGAATCTTTCAAGTGACAAGTAGTAGGTTAAATTAATTTTTATAATAGATAGGAATTTGAGACTTGTGGGGTCAGACTTTGAGGCAACTCTCTAAGTAAAGTAAATCTTCCGCTTAGCATAATAGCATGTAATAATTAATAGAGCCGCTAGAGCGTTTACGACGCATCCATGTAGCGGATGATTTGGCCCCAAAACCAAGCGTAAGACGTAAAGCAACCCAACTGCTGCAGTCAACGCCCAGTTTGAAGCAATTGCGGATAAAACATTACGTTCCGTAATCTGGATTTTGTGGTGGTGATGGTGGTGGGTTGAAGCATGGGTTGCAGGTGAAGAAGATGTCACGTGTTGAATGTCTGTAACACCTGGGTGATGCAATAGTTATTTGATTCAAGTCTTCATCATGTTTCTTTCAGTTTCATTAGTCTTTTCACAGGCGCCAGCTCTTCAGTGGTTTCGTATTTGAATGACACTTCAACATCTGTTTTTTATATATTCTTTAGCAACCAATTGCAGCTCGCCGGTAAGCGTAGCAGATAAATATGACTTAGGTACTCAGATATATTTTGAACTAGTTGACAAATAGACTGAATTAGTCGGTCTTCTTCATCAGTCATATTTCGAGAGAAGATAATTGACAATTCCTGGCAGATAAACTGAACTGGCTGATATAGTAAATTCATAACCGATTTATACGTAATTAATTGAACATACTTTCACATTTGCAGTGCGTCTCAGAGCTACTTTTATTAATATCATTTAGCAACCTTCTATTTGCTAGCTCATAGATTTTGCAAGTAGAGCCTGATGCATGTAAGTTCCTCAATGAGCAATGTGAAAATTTGTTGAGACTGGGCCATCAGTCCCTGCGCCAATCCTGGTACTCTGAACTTTAACCACTGTGCCTATATAATCACGTCTATATCCATCAATTTATAACCGATCTCGACATAATTTGCAACACATCAGACGTCAGGGAGGCGCGGGTTCGATCCCAGCTCTGTGCGCCAGTTTCTGGTCTGAATCTACAAGAAGGCCGGGCTGTTAAGGGGACCTGCTACCCTAAATTGGAGGTAGCCTATAACTTCTACAGTTATCATCCGATCATCATGAAACTTCACATCCATACGTAAAATGTAAAAATAATAACATTTTACTTCTATGAATTTTTCGAAAAAATTGATAGAAAACGTGATATTCATAGAAAACGGACAAATAACGGGTACTATAGAAAATCTATCTCCCCCCACAAATATCGTCCGACAATATCGAGACACATATCATTAGATTCGTAAAGACCATACCTATCAACTCTACCATCACTTTTTTCATTTTCCCCATAGCTTTTTTTTATGCGCGTTTTTCTCATTTTTTCACTTTTTTTACCCCCTCCCCCCCTTAAGCATGTAACTGCAGCACAACTCAAGTAGAAACTATATTCAAAGATTTCAGCAGCTAATTACTTTATATCTAATTACTTAAAGAACTCTCCCACCCGCTTCCCTTTAAAGAGACGTCATGAACGTAAATATTGGCGTACAGCAATGGCAGTGGTACCATTGGAAAGAGCAGAATTACAGCTTTCAGATGAGCACAAAAACCGAAAAACGCCAAAATTGAAAATTTTAGGGTAGCAGGTCACCTTAAGCAAAGTAGAATTGGAACAGTGAGTTGCGAGTTCGAGACCGCAACAAGCTGTGAATGTTCTGCGATGTTAAGAATCGGCGACAGGTCTACGGCCTAAAAAACGCTGAAACAGCTATTATTGAGTTGCCTATACTCTTTTTCGTTGTTATTAGTAGTCCCGTATCCACTGAAATGTCGGTGTCGTCGACAACATTCCTGACGTCGTCACTAAATATAATAAATCAAGAGTATCATGTTTGCTGAAAAAATCCTCATCACCGGTGATTGTCAGCAGCGAATGCTTGCGGTGAGTTGCCTGTCGGAGACCAACATGACCATCGACTAATATGATCACTTCCTCCAATCAACGTTGCTTCCTCCAGCCAATCATGTTAGCAGGCGAAAACCTCAAAAGTCTGAAAACTTCTATTGAATTAAACGCGTCATCGTCCAAAAACTCTAATGATATGCGATGGAAAAATGGACATAGGTGGAATTTATACTAGATGATCCATAATACAATATGAAAAACGCAAACAAACATATGCTTGTTTGAACCGTCCTGTTTGCTCCAATGAATAACCTGAATATATACTAAATTACGATATTACTTAGGTCTGAATATTTATTTCGGCAGTTGGTTTATGCGACCTTCCTTTGATTAAAAATTCTTTGGCCAGGAATTATACTGAAAGGCGGAAATAACTTCAAAAATGAGATTTTGACATCTATGGGATAAACTATCTAGGTATATGCTGGACCTGCTAGTCTTCCATATATGTTTAATTGCAAGCGTAGACTTTTCTAATTGAGTGCCTTAAATTGAATTTTAAATTTCTTTTCTCGAAGACACACTAGAAAGTACAAGCATACTGTATACCTAATATTAGGTGACAAGTGCCTTTGTAATATAGGAGAACATGACACACATTGTTGCGAAGCTCTGGTAATTTTGGCGAAAATTTACCGCCACTCTTGATCCGTTATAAACCAAGCACATAGCCGGCAGTAATAATATGTTTCTTAATTTCTAATAATAAGCAAAAGTGTAGTACAAATTCGTTCTGTAAAAGGTTATCAGGTTATAGTACCAAAGCGAGGGATGATGTGCCTAAAGAGACACTCAATTGGATCATTTTACACAGCAAGTATTCTATTGTACGTTGGATAAAAATAATGATATTTTATAGGAATTTAAAACGTTTATTAGGAAAATATTGTAGAAATACGGCCACTGCAGAAAATGTGTTCAGTTGGTTAGATGAACATGGCTCGCTGACTAGGTCCGCGTCACAAGACGCTGGTAGGTAGTGACGGGAACTGTCCAGCTGTAGACGAACGATCAAAACAACTAAATTCACGATCAACGTCCAATACAGTTTACGACTCCTGCCGAATGCTGTTCAGCTGCCGTTAATGGCAGATTGCGTTTTTTTGTTTCACATTTAAAGCCCCAAACTGCGAGATCGACGATTTTTGGAAAACAGTAAACGGATTTCAACAATAGATGTGGCCAGAAAGAGGAGCCGCTCCATAATAATTCATTGCGAATTTCATGCGTAAAATTTATTCCAAAATATCCCTGAATGATGGCTAAATTAACCATGGTTGAAGGAACACGATTAAAAACAGCAGCATGGTGCCAATGCCGTACAGGCGCAATTTGTTAGTAGAAGAAAGTCGAGCATTCAATTTCACATCAATTTCTGATCTACCACTCACGCTACAGATACACATGAATATGTACATGGAATTGTGAATAGAGTAGCGTATATTGATAACATATTGAACCTCGACCTTGAATAGGCATAACCCTGTCATTTGAAATAATTAAAAGTTTCCTGTATTACATCGGGTATAAGATATTCCATTCTGTTCCCCATAAAATAATCATGAATTCATCTGAGTTTTTATTTACTTCCCATTTGAAATTTGTAAGAAATGAACTCCGGAAATGTTACGTTTTGACTTGAACTAAACAACAATCTCATCATTGATCAAAATGCATTAAATAATAGCCTTCAGAATATTTATTATGACTAAACATCACCTTTGTGGTATCACAGATAAACAAGCTGTATAGAGCAGGCCGATATGTTGCCGCAGTATCATCTTCCGCCTTAATATTCAATTTAAGCTTGCAAATATCGCCGAGAAACGCAGTACTCGCAATCTCTTGATGGGTTGCTAAGGTAATTTCTGTAAGAGTCAAATGAAATATTATTACGTAAGCAAAACCCATCATTTATTTATGAGAGTAGTAAACAGCTCAGCAAGACCAGTGAGACGTTCCCTGTTCATTCACATAACACAACATAGTGATGTCGGCGCTAAAGAGTTGGGCCTGATGCGGCCTGTCGCCGAATCTTGAACTTTTCGTGACTTGTTCATAGAAGATCTAAATCTTGTCATTTAACCGGATATTTTCAAACTGACGATAGTTTGAAAACAGCTACTAGACTTCCACCGGGTTCGATATGGTGCTAGGCATTTCAAATGAATTCATTCATCACATCGGTGAACAGCTCAGCAAGTTCAGCGATCTTATATGAAAAGGAATGGCAGCTCCTTTACTTTGGAATTTGTTTATATTTCCGATGGAGTTAATGACGCACTAGGAATTAAATAAATTGAATCTTATTAATTAGGCGAGAAAATTAGATGAATCAATTTCTTGATGTTCCCTAACTCTCAGCGCTCTCTTTGTTTGAGGAAGGGAGTAACATGAAAACAATAAATGAAATTACTAGGCTAGGAAGAGACAGACGTAACGCGTTCTATCTATAGGAGGAAGCTTTCGGATTGCCACTGAAGCATATGACTAACTTTCGGATCACACATATGAGCGAGAAAAATTCTACGCATTTACATTTATGAAAGAACGGAGAGAAGTGATTCACGTACGTATTCTCAAAAAACGGCAGTTTATATGTAGGAAGAGACAATAGACTGAACCTTAGACATGAAATATACAAGAATAGATTACTCTGTACAACTACTGCATACTTTATTTAAAAGATTAAACATCGAAATAGTATAACACACTTGTAAATATAGTCCAACAAATCTTGCAATGTACACATTTGGCCGTAGTCCGTACAATTCATCTCATCAAGATACAGCACTCAAAAGGACATTATTTCACCTATTTTGGCACCAAAATTCACATATAGCTTACAAATCTGAACGGTTGTTATTCTCCATGCATCACTACGCTATTGAACAAAACCCATGAAACGAGTCTCGCGCTAGCAACGCGTAGGTGTAATCACAAGAAAATTATGGCGTTGGGTCGAAAATCGCATCCAATTCCGAGAGAAATTTAATAGTATCTGAGATATTTCCCTGACTCGTTCATTTCAATCACGGTTATTTCTTGGGACATTCAATGACCATATAAAGAAATACAACTTAACATGCGAGATCAGTCGGAAATTACACGCTCTGAAAGTTGAAAAATGTTATGAATCACGCATCACTTGAAGTGAGACTACACTACACTTTATTTTACGTTAAAAAGAGTGAAAATAACTCACTCTTTGCGGTAAATGAGTTGGTGTGAGCAAGGAAATGTTCATCAACTTGTTGAAACGTACTGAAATTTCTGCGTTACGAATGAAATCAAATGCAGCTACTGTTTTAAGACTTGTTAAGAAAAGTTCTCGCCAGGTTATCAATTTGACAGAAGGCATGGTAATACTTATCCTCCTACACACACAGGACGACACTTAACTCTTCTACTCCCCTATACAATTAAAGAGATGAAACAATAGGTAAGACCATAGTACATCAGAACAACTTCTGGATGGCAAGAACATCAAACACATCAGATCTGGCGCGTGCCAGGGCAACGGATCAAATTATCCAGCCAACTTCACAAAACTGTCTCGAGCTCTGCAACCTCCCGCACTCGATGTCTGCAACAGAAACTCCGATTATAAATCGGATAAATAATCGGATAAATATAAACTCATGGCACTTTTGTAATGATATAAACGAAGACTGGACACTACAGGGAAATTTCTGATGGAAGTGTGGAAAGCTTAAACATGGGCATCGAGAGCATTTGAGACGCGAAAAGGAAACGCGTCGGATTTCCGGAGGAACAATAATGCGCAATGCATCGTTGCTTGGCGAGTACACAATTTTTTTTTAAAGGGATTACATATTTTTTTAGAAATTTGATAAAAGAACTTCAATTTTCTATGTGTTTTGCCATGAACTTTAAGGTAGAGTGGTTCCTCTACCGAAAAGTAGAGCGCTTTAATTAGAATTCTGTTGTTTGGCTTATTAGCAATGCTACTCATTTTATTTCAAATGACCGTTATGAATGACAAGACCTAAAAAATTTTATTATCAGAGCAGGTAGTTCCTATATTTTAGTAAAGAGATGATAGCAGAAGTAAGTAGGAAGATCGATTTAGAGACGTGTTATAGCTAACACTCGCAGGTGTACTTCATTCTTTAGGCGAACGGGAAAGTTTTCCGCGTCAAAAGATACCGCCAGTAACGACATTATGTTCATTTATTGAACGTTGTATCATTCTTATTAGAAGAAATGCCACAAAATGAAATATAGCGTGGACTGAACGTAAGTTTAAATGGATAATCATTCAACCAGTTATTATCAACTTTAACAAGATTATATTTTACGGGGGGCTTAGAAGCGGGGCGTCCCTAAAACCTAGTGACGCCCAGGATAGCGAGAACAAACGCAAAAGAAGTACGAAATACGTGCCTCCAATAAATACTACTATTCATCAGAAATATCCCAAATTGTAATTTTGTAAACATAAAAGACAGTAAAATAGACCGATTATTCATCAAAAACACATAATTTAATGATTTATAACGCAAACTCATAATGTATAGCAAGCCTTTTTAAAAAAAATTAAGAAATTGGAGATAAGGAAAAAAACTTTGCACACCTTAATTTTTGCATTAAATAATGCATAATAAATGTTTGAATGAGTTGAAATATAAAAAATATCAACGTTGTTACATTAATTTAAACTATTAGTAAACTAGAAGCGTTTTGAAACTCACCTCATGGATAGCAGAGGTCCTCTAATAGGCTCATTAGATCTGACGAAGTCCTGCGTCATGTCTCGAGTTCTTAACAAGGGCTCGCCGCAATCGTCCTCGAAAAAGTCGCTATGTCTGCTCAGGAAAATAGTCGCAATCTGAGAGTGAGAGTAGAGCAGGAGTAAAAATTGCTATTTATTTCAATTTAAATTGCGATTTTAAATCAAACGCATTCACGCCCAATTGTACAGCGCCAAAGCCAATTTAGCAGAAACAATTTTTAAAAGTCGCTATGCTTGCACAGGAAAAAGAGTCACAATCTGAGAGTTAGGGCAGAGCTGGAGCAATAATTGCCATTTATTTTAACGTTAAAATTTCGATTTCAGATATTCAATCACAGGGGCATTTTTTATCAATGAATTATATTAAAAATGATATTTAATATAAATCCAACATTAATATAGCACGTGTTTATTTGCGAAGGGAAAAGGGAATTGAGTAAAAATTCACATAGAAAGAATTAAAGAATTAGCAGATAAATTTTGAAAAATGAATGGAATGAACGACTTATAATGATAATAGCGTTAAAATGTGATAAATAAAACACGCGTTACAGTGAGGACGCTCATATGTGTATATCAACTTGAATGCCGCAAAACTATTAAAAATTGATGTCATGAATATTCAAGAGTTTGTAATTTCTTTAGCCAATCACAAACGGATTTTCAAGCTTAACCCACCTATAACAGTGGAGAAATCGCACGCTAAGTGAACTTAACTTCGGCCGCTACGAGTATTTAGGCCACTACGAGTATTTAGGCCGCTACGAGTATTTAGGTGGCTACGAGTATTTAGGCCGCGACGAGTATTTAGGCAGCTACGAGTATTTAGGCCGCAACGAGTATTTAGGCCGCTACGCGCATTTAGGCCGCTACGAGTACTTAGGTCACTACGCGCATTTTGGCCGCTACGTGTATTTAGGCCAGTACGAGTATTTAGGCCGCTACGCGCATTTCGGCAGCTACAAGTACTTAATCGTGTCTCAAAGGACCGGCCCATTATCAATAGGAAGTGATTTAGGAACTGACCCTCTGGAAAGCATAGAAACGACCTGCTTCTTTCTCAAGTAGGCGTCGTCGGTATAGTTGTGACACACGTGCACCATTTCTGGCTCTTCTATGGAGTCTTGGCGCTGCAACTCACACCTGAGATCAGCAGGAACGATTAATAGTGTCAGTAGTATTATTATCATTAGAATTACTATCATTAGTATTCTTATCAGTGGTATTACTATCATTTGTGTTAATCTCAATAGTGTAGCCGCGTGTAACTTAATGGTCGTTGCACGCATCTTTTGATATAGAAGATTCGGACATTCGGTGCTATGGTATATATTAAAAAAAATAAGAGAGTATACTACAAACAAATTATTTCCTCAAAATGGTGCGTATGTCGTATAATATAACTTACAACTAGGTTCGTCACATAAGAAATAGAAAGAAATTATTTGGCCAATCCGACGAACGGAGCTCGTTTTATAATTCATGTTACTGACTGTCGGTGACGGTGTTTAATGCCGTGGCAGACCATCTGGGTCTCTAGGTCGACGATCCTAAGTCTGGCCATGTCTAGCTCATGTTTCACCCGCCAGAGGTCGGTGTCACAGAGCGGGTCATCACAGTGACGTCCGTTGTACTGCTCCTGCGCTTCCCGCACCACCTCCAGCATCGTAATGGACTTGCCCATGCTCTGTGACACGTCGTTACCATTAAAATGTTTAGTTTTGCGTGATAAATATCAAAGGAATTAAGTCAGAAATAAAATTGAAGTCACGAACTCACGATTGAAGTACCATTCATTTAGTCATTTAGTATGCGTTCATCTTCACCTATCATATATGGATGTTTTAAGCACTATTACGCAAACATAGTTTCTAATTCAGATAATAAAATTAGATTTTTTTCTGTTGGAGAGAATTTGCGTCCGTTCAGCTTACAGGAGTCGAATTAGAAGCAAATTTAAACAGGTGTCAGGTGTGTACTGTGTTATGACTAAGTAGTCAACATCTATAGTAACGGTAAAATTTGTGTTGTTCTTGCAATATCAAATATCATGTATTTACTTGATATTGACCTCTGTGTTAGAAATTTTCCTATTCCTCTCATCTTACAATACCTCCAGGCTCCAGAAAATCATTGCAGCGTTAAAAATATCGGTGTAAATGCAACGAGCAGCACTGATGTATTCCCACCATGCTAATAAGGTTGCAACATCCTCCTGTCATGTGCTTCTTGACGAGATGTTTCCTCATGTGCTTGAAGTACATGTGCTCCATGCACAGCAAGATGCCGCCCAACGCTACACCGAAACCGAGCATCACAAACGTTGACATGAACTGTTCCAACGCCAACGGTTCACTAGACGAGTTCCTCTGCTGGTCGGGCTTACAAGCGCCCGTGAACCAGAAGTGTGACAGACGCTCAAGTTCACCTTAGACAAAACAAAACATCTTGCGAATAAATTAAATCATTCTTAGATTGGATTAGGAAAAATTAGAACGCTTAGAAGCGCTGCCTTCAATTCAAATCGTACTATGGGTGAAAAAATATTACTCGGTACTCACTGCAGTGAGTGACAGAGAGCGCATTTTCTCGTCGACGAAAACGTGATCAAGCACGGACAGGCGGATAGACAGACAGACGGACAGACAGACAGACGGACAGACAGACAGACAGACGGACAGACAGACAAACAGACAGACGGACGGACATGACGAGCACAATAGCGCCTTTTTTCCATAAATGAGAAAATGAGCTAAAAACAGACGAAGCTTGCAGTGGCGTCATTTAGCCTATATTATTAACACCCTTAAATGAATTCATCTTTATTTTTAAATTAAAATTTTTTAATAGAATGTTCCAGCAAATTTAAATATAATGTGTTGTTAATGCAATTAATAGGCAGACAGTTCCTTCTATCTTTGTTGTTGTGCTGCACTAAAAATCAGTTTGTGATATTAATGGTTCGCTCACATCATGCACAAAGGATGTGAGGATGTGTAACAAATGTATCCATTGTACGGTAATCAACCAATCAATGGTATCTAGGAACTCGCCTCTCTCCACGAATGCACCGATATCTCTACTTTGCATGCTTGTGGTTGACATGCTTCATATTTTGTATTTCATAATAGTTAAATACTCATTCAAATAAGTATTTTCACTACTTTTATGTAAATAGTTGTATAAGGTTAGCTTCATTATAGTTTAAAACTTGAAATGAAAATGCTGGAGTTTGACCAAGTAATAGAAATGCTTAATATATTGGGATCATAACCTACGAATACAAAGTCAGTTTTTATCAACATGAGACAATTGATTACAATACTTGTCACTCACCGCTCTCCCTGTACTTGAGTATTTGATTATTGAAGATCTTGAGGTACTTGGAGTTCCTGGGGAAGGCCACACCGTACCCCGTCAACGCGTACCATGACCCTACCGTGAGCAGCTTGCACTCATCGTCCTGGCCGGTGAGGTACTCAAGCACAGTCGCGTCGTAGATGAACGCGTCCAGTTGCCTACATTCAAAGAATTGAGTGAGTCTTTTCCCAAATACCCAGTCATTTATTATTACAACACTTCTCTTTAACTTCACTTATTGTTTGTCTGTCTGTCTGTCAGTCTACTACAAATCTTATAATCGAAATTTAACACACTTCTACTTATCCTATCGATCTGAAATTTTGCACACTAGTGTGAAGTTGGAGGCAATGTATGAATCAATTGACAGGATAAATAATTTTGGAAACAATTTTTATATAATAAAAAAAAAGCTAAAAATTAATTTTTTTAATATTCGAAAATAAAATGAGAAATTCATTGTACATCTGTAACATTGGAGAGACTGGATTCTTTTGAAGTGTTGTCTTTAAAAAAATTTTTTAAACGCATATTATTGTTCCTAAGATGGTCATCCCGAATCAGTTAAGCCTGCCAAAAGAGCGTATCAGTGATACGACCCCCCTTTGCCGGTGCTGTTGGTAAGAAAGTGTGTCGCTTTTTGAACACAATGACTTTTTCACATGCTCATTGTCAACTGATGTTGCAAGTGCGATACAATAAGAATTGAAAGACATTTGTCGTACGCCGTACCTACAGTGTTAATATTGCGAGAGGAAATTATTACACGGCTTCGATATCAGCATTTCCAAGGTGTTGTGGGTTGCGGGATTGATGTTCATATATCCCGGTAAATGTTGCACATGCATTTGAATTTCGATTTTGGTACGATTCAACATTAGGAATTTTAAGAGAAAAATAATATGCGTTTAAAAATTACTTTTTAAAGACAAAACTTCTAATGAATCCAGTGTCTTTGATGTTACACATGTACAATGAATTTTTAATTTTATTTTCCTATATTAAAAAATTAATTTTTAATTTTTTAATATATAAAATTTTGTAAATTTTCAAATTTATTTATTCTGTCAACTGATTCATGCATTGTCTCCGACTTTATGCAAGTGCGCAAAATTTCGGATCGATTGGACAGGTAGAAGTGTGTCAAATATGGATTATAAGATTTGTAGCAGACGAAATTATTTTTAAATTTCTTTAATATGGGAAAAATACATTTTTATTAATAAAATATATTTATTCTGTCAATTGATTCCTGCATTGTCTCCAACTTTAAGCAAGCGTGCAAAATTTCAGATCGATCGGACAGGTAGAAGTCAAATATCTATTATAAGATTTGTAGCAGACCAAATTATTTTTAATTTTTTTAATGTTGAAAATTTTTTTGTAATTTTTCAAAATTATTTATTCTGTCAATTGATTCGTGCATTGTCATAAATTTTACGCGCGTGTGCAAAATTTCAGATCGATTGGACAGGTAGAAATGTGTTAAATATCGATTATAAGATTTATAGCAGACAGACGAACAAACAACAAGAAGTGAAGTTAAAGAGAAGTGTTGTAATAATATGGTGTAAGGAAATGAAACTCTCCTCTTCAATGACTCGAATCAAATTAATTAAAACATTAACCGACTGAACGCAACCGTAACAATACAATGCAAAAATTGAACAAAGAATTTTAAAATTCAAACCGCGTCAATTTCATCATCACCGGTAGAATAGAATAACAATGAAAAGTATTATTGTGGAAAAGTAATTGAAGCGAGAAAAAATTTTGCCAATCATGTTACCAATCCGGCCAAAAGGACTGAAAACTTTTAACGTTGAAAAAGTTTTCTGCAACCCAGCCATTATACCTGCCAGCCTACCTCGCCCATGGTTTAAATTTTAAAATAACTCTGTTAATACCAGCACAGTCTAGAGTACCTACCTGAGATGTCTGCAAAAATTATATTTTTCGAAATTTACTAGCAGTAATGCAATCTACAAATGAATGAGAACATATTTATAATGAGCGAAAAGCTATAATATAATTAAGCAATCTATGTAATTAAAAAAAGCTACATATCAATGAATCTACTTCCGGACGGATTATTTTAGTTGAAAATGTTGTCAGTTAGTACGGCGAGGTGAAATGCAGCAGTTTTTTTTAGACGAAAACTTTGAGGCAAATACATAAAATTTGACTTAGCTTCATTTACCGTATACATATTTGATTGAAAATTGGCATCCTATAAATATAATGAAATCGCTAACCAATTTCAGACCAGCCTAAAATAATTAATTAGTGTAAAAAAAGCAGCAAAATCAGAAAATTTTACTCGCTAGTTTCCCTTCTTTCACTGTAATTTACGAGTACATTCAACTCAAATTTGATACAAAGTTAACATTACAACAGTATTGTAACAACAACTGAATTCTGAACTACTTTTATTGATGTGTGCGTATTTTACGTAAAACAAATAATATGGCATGACATATTATGTTTCATTAGGTGATACGTTGCTTAGAAATTTTCCAAACTTTACGCTGAAAAATATGTCACAAGCGCATACCAATAGCATTTCAGGATAAAGCAGGAGTTACGTCAGAAAAATGTATTGCGATTATCAAGATTTTTCATCTATAATTTGCTTCAGACTGTTGAATTAAAAACTCACAATTTTTTGCTAAACGATATCGTTATCGTAAGCATTGGACAAGTTTACAAATAACTCAGTCGAATAGTCAACACTGGAAGCTTCTATCACCAAATATCCAGGTCAAAATGGCCATCTGAAGCGCAATGACGCTCATAAAAACGTTTAAAAACGCTCAGTGCAGCAAATTTACCTTCTTTATCAGCAAAGTTTTTTCTTTTTCGCGCGCCTTGTTTGTCTAGCCGTGAGCGCAACGAGTAACGAGACTAAATGAATAGCATTTTTTCGCTTGCGCGTCTCTCTTAGAACTTGTTCTTTGGCCCGGAAATGAGGCTATTGTAGCGCCACGCAGGCGTCGGATGGCTCACTCTACTCACCCTTTTTTGACAGCTTCACACCCTCGACGGCGTCGGATGGCTCACTCTACTCACCCTTTTTTGACGGCCTTCACACCCTCGACGGCGTCGGATGGCTCACTCTACTCACCCTTTTTTGACAGCCTTCACACCCTCGACGGCGTCGGATGGCTCACTCTACTCACCCTTTTTTGACAGCCTTCACACCCTCGACGGCGTTGGTCTGATTGAACTGCCGCATGTAGGCGTGCATCGCAGGGAAGGCGTTCTTAAGCACGACGTCGGTGTGACCGTGAAGCATCGTGCCAAACTTGAAGCGGGGCTTCACTGAGGTTGGGTTCTGAAGCTGATTTGCGAAGAGAAGAGTTGTATACATTTCCGAGGCAGCATTCATGTAAGTTTTAACTGCGATCGTAAACAATTTTACGTTTATTGGGCACTTAGAATCAGCCAGGTTGAACGAATTTAAGCTATAAAATTATTCATCGGGCTTCTTGGCCGTTATCATTTTTGTTGAACATTTAACTTTTAAGAAGGTTTGGCTTCGAACAAAATAAAGACCGAATAATTTTATCATCGACTGATAGAAGAAAAATTATGCAGAAAGCTAGTGATCACTTGACTTCATGCATGCATCTGCATTACTAAGTGAGATGTGATCTGGCAATCCAACTGAAATTTAGCGAGATATTCTCGGAGTACATAAGCATATATAGAATATATATGCGTCACTATTATGAATTCATAGTTCAAAAAACGAATTAAATTTTTCAAATAATGAGTTGGGGATATAAAAGTCATTGGTAACTGCCAGGCAATTATTATAAGTCAAATTAATTCACCATTGTTCCAGTGATATGGTAGTTGAATGACGAATCGTTTACAAACATTTAAAAAAATAGATCATCTCTTCGTAGTATACAAATGAAGATACTTCACATCACGTAGCTCAAATATTCACTGCAGTCTTATTAAAAATCCAATTAAGGCTCGATGTAATCAAGCCAAATTGTCTGCCTATCGAAATAACCGTAAAACTTAACGCACCCTTTTGTCGTCGAGGCCAGACATATCGTGGAACTCTTCCCTGGTGATCATAAAGGCCGCCAAGTTGGCTGTGTAAATGGCGAGAAAAATGAGAGCGAACATCGCCCAGACATTGCCCATAAACCTGCAACAAACGAGATAAACTTTCGATAAAACCTCGGGTCCCAAAATAGCAAGACACGAGATATTCAGCATGCACGTCGAGACTCGAGTAAGTATGGCTTACAGGCCAGCGATCTGAAGAAGTATACAAATCTCGCAGAGTGAAAAAATCTTTAGAATTTGTGCTTCTAAAACGCTCAAGTTTTGTTGGCTCAGAGTTTCGAATTTTTCACGCTGTCCTTATGAGTAACAGAAGTTCTTATACTCAGGATAGTTATAAGGCTAGCAGATAAAAAAAGAAAAAGGTTCAAAATGAAGATTTTGCTAAAAAAGTGAGTGGGTACTAGAAGAAATATATTTATGAAGGGAGCTCCAGTCATAGGAGTTTCTCGTTGAGCCTGAAATATTTAATGCAGAGTACCAATTGGAATATCACTGTAAGTGCAAATCCAACTGGTAGAAAAAATATTCATTGCGCTAGTATTAATTCCTTTGTGATTAAAGTATAGTCCGACTGGGGGTACCTATCATTGGGTATATAAATTGGATTATTCACGTCATGTCTAAAGAATTTTGCTGAATTGCGGTGAAAATCGTGAATCCTAAAATAGATAGGAAACAAGTCGTACATTAACGTAGTACGAATAACATCAAAAAACATTCTATCAAATATTACACAACTAAAAAGTATACTTTTTCTGTAAACTTGTTGTAATTGGGAACTTGAAACATGGAGTTAATTCTTGATCTAGCGAGTGGAAGGAAAATGACGGAATTCATTTTTTTGAACCAACCCCGTCACTATAGCAAACTATGGCGGACAAATGCAAATGGTCATCAAGATTACTTATTTCTTTTCAAGGTTTTTGAGTGAAAATTTGATGTGAGTGCATACCGCGCGGTGAAGCCCTTGGGACAGTCGACGTTGACGGCGGCCTGGAAGAGTATGGCCCAGACGAGCCACAGTGTCCGGAACAATGAGAACGGATGGTCCCGTGGTGGCTGCATCTGCAGAGTCACACGCAAAATCGCTTTCAGCTTTACCCTGCCTAAAGTTCTATACACCTTGAGCAGAAGAAACATTAGAACATTACATTAAGAAAGAGTAAACATATTAGAACAATAGAAACATTAAGAAAGAGTTAAAGTAAAATGTCATACCCGCAAATTATTGCATAATTGTGACAGAGTGTATTGCATAATGACAGAGTGTGAAAAAAATTACGTTTAAATCCAAGACTTGATGTTGGAAACTTGGAAGTTAGAAGTAGACGTTCAATTTTTTAAATCAGTGGCCGATATTCTAATGAGAAACCAAGTTCAGATCTTGTGAGTGAGTGCAGGATTCTGAACACTGGATTGTTCAGAAGTGTTGTCTTTAAAAAGTAATTTTTAAACGCATATTATTAAGTATTTGTCCCAAATTTTATTTTTTTTCAAACATTCGGACTAAATTCATAAAAAGTTCAAATGTAACGGAACTGAAAATTTCCCCATAAAAGGATCATGGAATTGCTTCTTAAATGGAACGGGGAATCAGCATTTAATTGGCACTGAAAGTTATTAGTCAAGTCGTACATGTACAGAACTGCTTCCAAGTTAAACAGGAAATGGCCATTCCAACGGAACTGGCTATTGACTGTAAAAAATGGGAATTTCTCTTCAAACGGAGAAGAAAATTGTTCTTCATATGAAACAGGAAATTGCGCGTTAACCGAAGTAAGAATTGCCACGCAAACTGAGCAAGTCATTGCTGTCTGGACGCTACCAAGAATTTCCTTTAAAACTGCAGGAAGAAATGCTCTACTAACGGAACATTGAAGTGACTTTCATATAGAACAGGGAAGTGTACCTCAAAATGAACAGG